ATTCCATTTGCTGCATCACTAATGGCTTTCAACAGGTCAGGATCATGATCGCTTCCAAAACCAAACGTGTACACAGAAGCTTCAATATTCTTCTTGTCCTGTATCACAATTATAAAAATTATATTGCTAAGATCATATATAGCGCGATTGTATTGAAATAGAGTGCATGCCAAAAAGGTAATTCAGATGCTGATTCGGTCAAATGAATGAGCAAATTAGACTCGTGCAATTTTGATCGCCTTTGAAAAGCTCGCTCGTTCATATTTTTTTCTGGCCCATTGCACTCGAAATCATACTATTACGGCTTTCATGTTTAATTATTCTACTATACTTAAGATGGAGCAAAACAAGCAATAAAATTACGTAGTCTGCATGTACCTACAATTTCCGTCCTAAAGAAATTTGTGCGCATTTCAAGATCTTCAACACAATATAGTTCTGATCTACTGCATATAGTTGAGGGTTTTTGTTGATGAAAATTTCGATCGGAAAATTACATTATATATACAATTTTAGACCTAAACAGGAAAATTAGCTGCGAAAAATGCAACTGTAAGCCCTCTATCGAACCTGCGGCCCTGTGAGCGCTCTAACCAATAAACCAACTGAGCTTGCATGTTTCGGCGTTCTACGCCTCGTCAGTGCAGCTTCGTACACGTCTAGATACGTGAGACATTCGTATTTATATTACATGAACTTGCTCTCACCAAGGCATGTAGTACAACACGATGACATCAACGCATCCAGACATGCGCAGAGTGTAATGGGGCCAGAGTGCTCAAACAACCACGAGGGAAGTGAGCATTGCATGCATTAGCCGTTTTCACATTAGAAGACGAACAAGTCGTCTAGACGAACAAATCGTCTCAAAATCGTCTTTTAGTCGGACAAATCATCAGATGTGAAAACGTGTCGGACAAAATTTTAGACGAACAAGTCGTCTGAATTTGTTCGACTACTTGTCCGTCTGTGAAGACGATTTTTGAGAGACGATTTGTTCGTCTAGATGACTTGTCCGTCTCTAATGTGAATAGGGCTAATTGAAAGATAAAATACAATTTTATAATTCAGTATCGACATGAACTCTCTCTCTATATATACATATATACATAGACAAGCTATATGATACAAATGGTATGAAAGTTATGTAGCAAAATGCCACGTATACAAGATGTTCTCGTAAAAAATAGTGAATTAATTTAAGTGAAAAACTTCATGTGGCCTAAATAAAAAGTAAGCTTGATCAAATTATGCATACAGGTCAACACAACTGATATAGTGTAAAATGGAATTTAATCGCCCCTGTTTCATTATATATATATATATATATATATATATATATATATATATATATATATATATATATATATATATATATATATATATATATATATATATATATATATATATATATATATATATATATATATATATATATATAATGCACTCCTTATTCAGAATAACTTTTATTCTATGACTATTGTAACTGAGACATGCACATTTAGCTGGGATATGCCTAGGTATTTATAAGCATATAAAGAATTGAGGAGTGAAACTTGAGTAGATGCCAAGCTATAATATATTAATTTTGATACAAGAAACACTGCCACTGGAATCTGGCAATACACAACTATTAACTATTTGGCATTAGTTAATACAATAAACATAACTTAATATAAAGACTTCAGGAGTCAAATGTAAGCTTTGAATTAAACTAACGTTTTATATCATCGTTTTAAATATTGTCGCGGCAAATTCAAATTTTAAGCCGAAACATCAAGCACGTACATTCTCAAAATTCAGGAATGAAGATTGAAGTAGAAAATATTTCCTTTCAAAATTGCTCTATTATACATAAAACATAACAAGATTCTTAGCTGGATATTACTCTGTCATCCCTGATGTTTCATCTTCGCTTATTAAGGCTTCATCGACTCGGCAAATTCAAATTTTAAGCCGAAACATCAAAGGTCATCAAACACGTGCATTCTCAAAATTCACGAATGAAGATAGCAAATATTTCCTTTCAAAATTGCTCTATTATACATAAAACATAACAAGATTCTTACCTGGATATTACTCAATCATCCCTGATCTTTCATCTTCGTTTATTCACGGTTAATAAGGCTTCATCGGCTCGAAATATCGAGCGAAATATTGTAACTTCGAAATCACGAACTGATTATAAAAAATGGCGGGGTGTAAATTCAGTGCTTCCACTTCCACTTTCAAAAAAATAATTTCCTTCCCAACTGCTCAAAATTTCCTTATTTTTGACAAAAATTCCTTTGATGAAGTTGAATTTTACCTAGTTTAAAACCGATATTACAATAATTTATCCTGAACGACGGTGTATTTCTCGGGTGAGAAACACCATGAACCTTGCAATTATAAATTATAAATTAATTATAAAAAACTGCAACAGGAGGCTTGAGGTCATGTCTCAGAAATTTTTCAGATTTTCCATTCCCCAGGAGTAGGATTTGGATTTTTGACATTTCCTGATGCGAATTTGCTTGGGAATTGCTATAATCTTAGGATTTATTAGAAATAACATAATATCCTTATTTCCTTGCTGAAAACAAAATTCCTTGCCGTTTCCTAGTAAATTTTATTTCTTGTTGCAAAGAAATGTCCTTGCAAGTGGAAGCACTGCATGGGATGACCAGTGTAGGCAACAGTTGAAGCCTCCCCCTTTTCTCACCCTCCGCCCCTCACCCCCCCCCTTCCATTATTAATGATTGGTCCCTTATCTGTGTAACTATAAAATACGGTTCTATTTTATTTCATTTTGCTAAGTAGGAAAATTCAGAATGTTTTAATTTAAATAGACTATTTTATACATATCTGCAAATTGTAATCCTGAATCCCGGTAAATGTAAAATAGGATTAAAATAGTGTATTTTATTATATTTTGCAAATTAGGGAAAGTAAATAGGTTTAAAATAGTATATTTTATCCCTATTTGAAAATTGTGGCAGTTTTAAAAATGTGCAATAGGTTTAAAACAGTCTATTTTATTCTGTTTTGCGTATTCTGAAAAATAAATAGCTTTAAAATACTATATTTTATATCTATTTTAATTTATGTAATATTCTGCACGTGCAAAATATGTTTAAAATAGTCTATTTTATTGTTATTTTGCTAACTATGAAAGAAAGATAGGATTAAAATAGTATATTTTATTCCTGTTTGAAATTTGTGCATTTAACTTCCAATGTAAAATAGGATTTAAACAGCCTATTTTATTTTATGAGTTTAAAAATAGTATATTTTATATCTATTTTAATTTCTAACTGCTTTTTAGTGAAGTAAAATAGAATTTAAATAGGCTATTTTAAACCTATTTTTTCCCTGAAGCTCTGGAAAATAGTATTAAAATATGCGATTTTATTTCTATTATCTATAAAAATAGGAATAAAATGAAATAAAACATTAATAAAATATGGCTCTTTCTTTTAGTGAAATATTATGATAGATTTAAAATAGGGTTGCCTCTGAATAAAATAGCATAAAAATAGGGATGATAGTAATAAAATAGTTTTAAAATAGCAATATAATATAGTTATTTTCGCAAGGGTTGGCACCATCGAGGTTCTCATCAATGTTCCAGAATTCTAACCATATCCACAGTTATAATGTACGAGGTTGAAATTCGTTTCTCTTTCTGCCACGACCAAATACCGAGTATGGCAGAAAATGTTTTCGATATAGTGGGGTTAAAATCTGGAATAGCATTCCTGAACAAGTAAGAAACAGCGAATCTTTAAATTCTTTCAATAGAAATATTTCCTCTGTTAGTCTGACGAGCTATTTGACTTTTGTATACCATTTGTTTTGTAATATGTATTTGTATTCGTAGTTCGTAATATTCTTTGTGATTTTGTATTCTATATATTTCTGTTACATAATTTATCTACGCCCCACTTGGAAAGCAGCTCCGGTTGAAGTGGCCAGCGTAGTCAAATAAAGTTTTATCTTATCCTAGATACTCTAAGCTGAAAATACTATACAGCGCCGTCTACCAGTATCTCTGCTATAGTTCTAACCTACTTGACAATGTTTGTCTTGACATCATGCAGGAACCGTCCACTTTTAAACACGCTTTCATCGAATTTTAACCAATATACTTTTAACTTTAATTTAGACGACGATGAAGTGAATGATGTAAAAAAGCTGATCACTGCGACACTTATACTTGTCATCATTACCCTGGTTCTTATGGCGGTTGCTATTGTTTATGTAGTTCGTAGCTTAGCAATTAGCTGAGCAAGCTGCGCAAATGACTGTAAATTTTGGAGACGCAAGCACAATATAGAAACAGCGACTTGAGAAATGGTTCCTAATTTATGGCTTCGTAAGAGTATGAATTGAATAGGGAAAAAGGAAAAACGATCATAACTATTTGTATGTGGAAATAGTAGACGCAGGAAGACAAATGTTTTGCGCTTCTAAATACAAATGTTTGTAGTACATTAGCCTGTATATACATTTTCAGATAATGGCGCTCAAATACACTCATGTCATGGATCAATAGGTATAATGAGCGTAGTTGGATCCATCTCGAACATCTCTCGCCAAGGCCCATTATATTATCTGTTCGCAGCCGTAAATTCGCCAATAATTATTCCAAGAAAGCTTTCTGCCAAGTGTTTGCAGACGTAAATTACGGGAGAATTTACTGTTGTGCGCAGGCTAGAAATATCAGCGATTCTTAAACGAATACTTCAATTGTTACAGACTAATGAAAAAGTAAATGGATACGTATCATAAAAAGAGAATGATATAATAATTCGGATTTTTTGGTACAAATATTTTGTATAGCTCTAAAATAAAACTTAACTATATCAGACTCTTGCACATGAGAACATATACCTAACATATATATTATAAAACTTGTGACTTGTTACAACACGACATTGTCTGGCTTGCTGGATAAACATGCGCCGTTGAAAGAAAAGACAATTACTGTACGTCCCAGAGTGCCTTGGTTTAATGTTATGGTCAAGGAGGCGAAACGAATTTGTAGGAAACATGAAAGGATTTGGCGAAAGACTGGATCTGAGTTGGATAGGGAGCGGTTTGCCAAATCACGAAATCGCGCGAATCACGTGATGGAGCAAGCAAGACGGGATTACTATCTTAAATTTATTGAAGAAAACAGCGCTGATCAGCGGAGACTCTTTAAAGCGACTAGTGCACTATTGGGGAAGTCATCTGGAGAGCGCTACCCCCCGTATAAGGATTTTTCTGGGCTTGCCAATGATTTTGGTAAGTTTTTTGTCCAGAAAATTGACAATATTCGCTCTAAACTCGACAACTTTGAGTTAGATTCTCCATCAATGCCGGAGGGGGAACCAGGATATACTGGGTCATTATTTACTGAATTCCGACGTACATCATCCGAGAAAATTAAAGAGATAGTACTAAGTTTTCCGAATAAGTCTTGCGCTAGTGATCCCATCCCTACTGATATGGTTAAGGACTGCATAGATGATTTGTTGCCAGCTATCTCTAACATGGTAAATTCTTCCCTTGTAGATGGTTATTTCCCCGACATCTGGAAAGAAGCATTAGTGAAACCTAAGCTTAAAAAATCGAACATGGACTTGATAAAAAAGAACTATCGTCCAGTGAGCAACCTTGCGTTTCTGTCTAAGGTGACTGAAAGAATTGCTGCTAAGCAAATGTGCGGTCACCTATCCATCAATCATTTGTTTCCTGAATTTCAGTCAGCTTATCGTAACTTTCACAGCACTGAAACAGCATTGTTGCGTACGCGCAATGATATTCTCATAAACATGAATAAACAACATGTCACTCTGTTGGTGTTCCTGGACCTCAGCGCTGCATTTGATACAGTGGACCATGACATATTGTTGCGGCGTCTTAAATATAAGTTTGGGATTTGTAATAATGCGCTTGCTTGGTTTCGATCATATTTAGTGAACAGATCCCATCGTGTAGTTATAGAAAACGTAATGTCGGACAGTTTTGATATGAAGTATGGTGTGCCTCAAGGGTCTTGTTTAGGACCATTAGGACCATTGTTGTTTATCCTGTACACAAGCAAACTGTTCGATGTCATCCACCATCACTTGCCCACCGTGCATTGCTTTGCTGACGATACGGAGTTATATCTCGCATTTAACCCAAGTAGCGATAATGCTCAGGATGCTGCCATCTTAGCTATGGAGAATTGCCTACGAGACATCCGGAATTGGATGATTACTGATAGGTTGATGATAAATGATGAAAAAACGGAATTTATGTTAATTGGAACAAAAGCTCAGCTCGCTAAAGTCAAGAACATCAGTCTAACTATTGGTGAATCTGTGATTTCACCATCTGAAGAACCTATCAAGAACTTGGGCGCTTGGTTTGACCGTACCTTCAACTTGAATCACCATATCAATAAGACCTGTAGAAGTGCTTTTTATCATCTGCATAATATAAGAAGAATTCGCAAGTATTTAAGCAGAGAATCAACAGAGAAACTTGTTCATGCCTTCGTTACCAGTCACCTAGACTATTGCAATGGACTGTTATATGGACTTCCCAACAATGCTATAGCCAAATTACAACGTGTTCAGAATGCTGCCGCAAGGATTCTCTACCGTGCACCACGGTTTAGCCATATTACTCCGCTGTTGTATGAGTTACACTGGTTGCCAGTCAAATATCGAATTGAATATAAGATAATTACACTTACGTTTAAGGCAATTCATGGAACTGCCCCTAATTATATAACTGAACTTATAACTTTTAAAACAAACTCTTCTTATAGCTTAAGATCAAATAACAAACTTCTTTTATGTCCGCCAAATTTTAAGACATTGTCTACTCTTGGTGACAGAGCCTTTATGGCTGCTGCACCAAAACTATGGAATGTATTGCCATTGAATCTTAGGAGTATCTCTGATTTTAATATTTTTAAGCAAGATCTTAAGACATATCTTTTTAAAGAGGCTTTTTATTAGCTTAGTTCTTAGATTAAATTTGTAATATTAGTTCTACGTATTTTAATTGTCCTATCCATTGTTGTAAGGCGCATTTGAAAACTGCATTGTTGAATTTGCGCGATATAAATTAATAAATGTTATGTTATATATGCTATAAATACAAATATTATATAAAATTTAATTATATTTATTATATAAAGTCCAGTCCAAAGTCCAGTCCAGTGTTTACAATATGCCTTAAGTTAAGTTTAAATAAACGTGATACACCTGCCCAACTTGCAGCTTACAAATTATATAAATGAGTAGATATATCGATAATTGTAAGTAGACATATAGATAGGTTTATAAGAACAAACATGACAGCCCTAGAGCTGAACTGCTCTGTTACACTAACATACGGTATGTTTGTTGACGTCGGTGATATAAAGACATAGGTCGGCTTTCCCCAGGTTGTAGATATGCATAATGCGATCATATCCAATAAAGTCAGGAGCAGTGTTTAACAACTTATCAGGAGCGGAGGGGTCGTGCATCACTCTATTGCATGCAGCTCTATAGGGGTGACATGTGGCCAAACTCGTTCCCATGCTCTTCTTTTTTGTGTCGGGGTTTTCTCTAATCTATTTCGCTATGCCGAATATTTTTCCCAGAACGTGAATTATTCGTTTTTAGATAATCCTTCAATAGTTTAATATGGAATTAAAGTTAATAGGATGATGCAAAGTTTTTAACTGTTAGGATCGCGCTATACACCAATCTCGTTCCCCGAGCCTGCGATCCTCGGGAAGGAACGCGAGGCTCTGGGATAATCCGTTGCCGGGAGCCAGGAATCCTGGCTAAGATTGAACTACGCATTCCATTTCAACGGCCAATCAGATTCCTCCCTGAAACGGATTATCCCAGAGCCTCGCGTTCCTTCCCGAGGATCGCAGGCTCGGGGAACGAGATTGGCTATGCACCTGTTTACTTCAAAGCATACACGTTGTTAATATTCAATAAAATTCTAGAATACAGGCCAACGTCTGTCACTCCTTGATTGAGAGTGTTATTCACAAAAGCAAATTAATTTCGGTTCATTGCAATGACAGTTTTGGATTGTTCACCAATCAGAAAGAGTGATAGAAAAGTTTATAATGCAAGTTTAAAACAGTAATAGTTTAAAAATAACTTAAATTTTAAATGCTAATTTGCTTTCATGCGTGCTAAACACTCTGAAATTCTACTTTTGAACAATATTGCTATTATTTGCTAATTTTGAAGTGGCGTTTATACACCATATGGAAACCGTGTCTTATGTGTATAGGATTCTTTTTGGTGGAATACATCTGGTGTATATCGTACGGAAACTAACTTATTTGCCTTTTGTTCTGTTTTTTAAAGGAATTGCACAGACAAGCTGCCAGCTTGATTCTGAATTTTGTTTCAGCAACGAAATTCAACTCAAATTTCTTGAACGAAAGAATGGGGAAGACAATAGATGATGCCTTCAGATATACGTACGCTGTAGTACTTGTAGTTGGGATGGTCGGTAATATTTTGGTAATCATTTCCATACTGAGACAAAAGAAATTGTTGAAGAACAACTACTACTTTCTTGTTCTACATCTTGCGATATGTGATTTGGGAACACTGATAATTTTCCTTTTCAATCAAATCAACTTTTTTTTTGTCGAAGATCGCCTCGTTACTTATTCCATGAAGTATTGTGTTTTCTTTTACATATATCTCGTTTTTCGAGTCGCAGGAATAGGTATGATGTTGAACATTTCACTGCTTCGTTATCGTGCTACTGTGCATCCTTTAAAACCTGACGTCAGTCGAGGAAAATTGAAAATCGTTTGTGGCTTGGTGTACATTGTTGGTTTTATTGCAGGTTATGCAACATGTCTGCCTGTATGTTTCATGCAGCGGAACAAAATTGTTTATTATAAAGTTTTGTATGGTTACACTTTTTCATGCTTGTACTTTTTCCCAACAATATTTATGGCTGTGGTTTATTATAAAATAAGTCGAGAACTGATCAAACAAAACAGATACATGAAAAGCGAATGTTCAAATTCCGTGAGGGGAAGTGCGCCTGACGCTAATTCCTTCAATATCCTGAAATTTATCCGAAATCGACGAACTTTTTTTGTTTGTCTCATTACAGTCCTATGTTTTGGAATTGGAAATATTTTTGCCTCTGTGTGTTTTATTTTGTACATCGCTGGAGAAAATCATTTACTAATGAAATACGTTTGGATTAGGTATTTGGCAAATGTCTTGAGAGTCGCTGGTTCGCATTCAGTAAATCCTCTCATATATGCAAGATTGGACAAAAAATTGCTCACATTTTGGAAACTTTGCCGCAAGAAGAAACACAAACCACAAGGAAACTGATTAGACAGTTCTTGTAGCAAGCTGAACAAACGAGACATCTTCATAGATTGTCAGCCACATAGGTAGACGGTTGTTCTTCCAGGATGAAACTTGTATCTCCCTCAATTCACTGTCTACCACAGTGAAAAATTGAAAGTAATGAATCTGCCACATGACTTTTGAAGGACCTATAGATTTAGTTTTGAATAAACATGACAGTACAATGCGTGCCTTTTAATTTGGATCAGAACTTTTGATCATGGAGTTTTAAGGCATTTGTAGATTGATTTATTGATTGATTGATTTATCCATTAACATATTAATTTATCCAATGACTGTAAACATTTGTGATAGTTAATTTGACTTAGAAGCCATACCTTTGAACCCAAAATACCTGGAGTGCTTCTTTTATTAAAAAAGATAGGACCAAACTTTAATTCCAGGATTCGAATGGCTAAGCTTACTAAATTTGTCAATTGTCATATTAAAAAACTTAGTCTTTAATAAAGTTAGGAACTGGTGAATTTTTGGTCGATCTCAGATCATGACCGTGGCAACGAAAATCCGATTTAGAGTCCTGGATATGACTGCCAGGGCTGGTGTTTATTTCTTGAGCGATGCTCGACGTTTCGAGTTAAATTGATATAACATAATCAAAATGATAATCTAGATCTTGAATGAATAAATATTAAGATAGCATGGAATTTTGTAGTGTGCGACATTTGAAAGCAAGTAAATATATGAATAGTTTCTTTACTTTTCAACGTTTCAATAGGCCAGTTGAAGCCGGCCTGAAAACACTTTCCATAACAATATGTGAAGGGCAAGAAAAATATAACGCTGTGCTTCCGGGGCGTACGCATGAAGCTTGATAAACTTAAGAGGGGGAAGGGGCGCGGCTTCGAATGTTTTGAGTCTCTAGATCGTCGGAAATGGCATTTTTAGAGTCTTCTTTACCTCTTTATTTAGGTCCTTTCATTAATTCATTTTTTATAATTTGTAGGTCGATGCTATCCGGGAGGATGGATTATTTTTATTAATTGACCGATTAGCGCAATTAGTTATTAATTTTTTTTATTTGGGAAGCGTGGTGGTGGGGGGGGGGGCGAAAGCTATTCCGGCATCAGTTTAGGGAAAAGTGTATTGAATGCCATATACTGTATAGGCAAAATTCTAGAGTTTCGAGTAGAACCATTTCGCTATGACATCTTAATAGCTAATACAATATGCCATATGTCAATTTCTTTGACATTTGTCGAGTGCCATAAAGCACGTCCTCGCGAGGGGAGTTCTTATTGGTCACTTATATACAGCTGGTGTATATTGTCTTACATATCGCAGGTAAAATATTCCCATCTGTCATTTGTCCTGTTTTCCAAGCGAGCTACAAGTGTGATCCTGAATTGTTTTTAAACAACGAAAGTCAAATTTCAAGTTGAACGAAAGAATGGGGAAGACAACAGATGATGTCTACAGATATTCTAACGCTGTAGTACTTGTATTTTGGATTCTCGGTAATATTTTGGTAATCATTTCCATACTGAGACAAAAGCAAGTGTTGAAGAATAACTACTACTTTGTTGTTCTACATCTTGCAATATGTGACCTGGGGGTACTGATCGTTTATCTTATCAAACATGTCAACTGGTATTTGGTCGAAGAACAGTTCTTTACTTATTCCATCAAGTATTGTGCTTTCAGTCGTATAAATTATTTTTTCAAGATGCAGGAATAGCTATGATGTTGATCATTTCACTGCTTCGCTATCGTGCCACTGTGCATCCTTTAAAACGTAACGTCAGTCGACGAAAATTGAAAGTCGTTTGTGGTTTGATGTACATTGTTGGTTTCATTGCAGGTTATGGAACATGTCTGCCGTTATGTTTTCGGATGCAGTGGAACGATGTCGCGATTTTTATGATAAAGTTTTACGTGGTTTCGTCATATCATGCTTTTACCTTTTCCCAACATTATTTATGGCTGTGGTTTATTATGATAAAGTTTTACGTGGTTTCGTCATATCATGCTTTTACCTTTTCCCAACATTATTTATGGCTGTGTTTATTATAAAATAGGTCGAGAACAAACGCATGAAAAACGTATGTTCAAATCCAGGGAGACGAAGTGCGCCTGGCTCTTCCTTCAGTATCCGAAATTTATCCGAAATCGACGAACTTTTGTCTGTCTCATTACCGTCCTATGTTATGCAATTGGAAATATTCCTGCAACTGTGTACCTTATTTTACGCATCGCTGAGGGAGATCATTTCCGAATGTAATACGTTTGGTTTGAGTATTTGGCAAAGGTTCTGAGAGTTGCTGGTTCGCATTCTGTAAATCCTCTCATATATGGAATATTGGATAAAAGGTTGCTCACATTTTGGAAACTTTGCACCAAGAAGAAGCAGAGACCACAAGGAAAATGATTAGACAGTTCTTGCAGCAAGCTGGATAAACGAGACATCTTCATAGATCGATTTTCAGCATCATAGATAGACGTGCAGGACGAGACTTAAATCTCCGGCTTCACTGTGTACCACAACCAAAAAATGAAAAACAATGACTCGTCCGCATAACTTGTGAAGGAATTTGGATTTAGCTTTGAATAAACATGACAGTAAAAATTAATGGATTTTACTTTTGACCAGAACTTAATTCATAGAGTTGTAGTATTTATTAATTTGCTGATTTATCCATTGACACATTGATTTATCCATTGATTGTAAATATTTATGACATTTTTTTGACTTAGAAAGTCGTACAATTGAACCTAAAATATCTGGAGAGTATAAAAATAAAAGGTCCAAATTTAATTTCAGGATTCAAATGGCTAAGTTTACTAAATTTGTCAATTGCCATATTAAAAAACTTAGTCTTTAATAAAGTTAGGATAAAGTAAATAAAGTCAGATAAATAAAGTCAGCTGGGTTGTTGAATTTGGAGTAAGGAATTTGAATTTGGAGTGAGGAATTTTAAGTAAGGAATTTGAATTTGAAGTTATGAAATTTAAGTTGATATCTGATTTATTATTTACGTTGCACTTGTGGGCCACCGTAATTACGCAAATGACAACTTGAATATTTTAAAGCGTCAAGAAAACACTTGTTGTTGTGCCGTTGTATTTGCCAAACACTCGTATACAGCAAAAAACATCGTTTCCGTCTAGAATATTGTTATGAGCTTTTGACTGCCCATCCTTTAAATTTAAACAAAAATTAAGTTTTCTATACAACTCGTCTATAATACATTTTTTATCGCTATAGAACGATATTTTTCGATTCCCAAACTTTGTGTTGACACCTTGAATCTATTGTTGTGTAAATTTCATTACCTTTTATGGCAGTATAATGTAGTTATAATAACCAACTACTCGGTTTCAACCAATGGGAACCCTGCGTCGTTCTAAGCAACGCGCACAGGCGGATTTTTATTAGCTAGGCCTGCAGGCTCTCTCAACTTTCAAAGGGAGTTCAAAGAGAGCCTGTTCGCAGGCTATAGTTTGAAGACCAGTGAGTACGATCGAAATTCGTCCCTCCCCCAATATTTCGCAAAATACCCACCACTAGTTCGGTTAGTCAAGACTGCCCATTGACAAATAAGATGGTCTGGTGTAAGAATGAGAAGAAAATACGATAGGGCGTATTTGGGGTAATTACTGTACGTTAGAGCAAACACGTATTTCATGAAATGCATTTTTTTTACAGACACGCCATAGTCTGTCGCACTGGCATCACAGCCCAATTGCCGCAAGGTGACGGCTGGTATCGGCTACCGGGAAATTTTACATACGTTTCATGCGGGGATTATGGCTGTTGGGCGATAAAACCGGACAATTCGATCGCTTTTCGCACTGGAGTGACATTCAGCTACCCTCAGGGAACAAGCTGGCTTGATGTTGATGGCAGTTTCGTGCAACTCGAGGCAGGCTACCAAGGCAGGGTGTATGCTGTAACTTCGGAAAATGTGCTCTATTACAGAATTGGTATATATGCCCTTCACCCGACTGGTTCAACATGGAAACAGGTCGATCGTCTGCAGGTTCAACATGTAACCGTTGGCGACAAATGGAACGATATTTACGTAATTGCTACAAATGGAACGATATTTACATCTACTTAAAATACACCTTTGGGTCGCCGGTGAATGCGGACAAGGGAGTAAAGCGAGGGGAGGGGGAGAGAAGCAAGGAAAGAGAGGGGGAGAAGAGGGGAGGTGAGAGATAAGTGGGGAGGAGACACCTTATCCTAACGGCGGTTTGCACAATTAACATGTTATATGTCCAACCGTAAATATTAAGCACTTCTTATATAACATTTGTAGGAATAACAATATCTACTAGTATATTATTCGTTTTCTAATTATTGTGAAATATACGAAAACGTTTTTCTAACTTGATTGTGTAAATAGCTTTTTTTTCTGTAATTTTCAAAGGCGAAGTAGAATAGTTATAAAACGTTTAATTTGATGGTGGGACACAATTTTAAGCAATATAGTTTAGTTATAAACAGTAAACAGTAAACACGACGAGTAATAATAGTTTTTTTTATGGATTTCAATTATAATAAACCAATGAAAATGTAGCTAATCTTCTCACAAATGAACTCGTGCATATATTATTGATTCTTTCTATTTAAGTTTTCATTAAAAAGTTACTTAAAAAATTGATGTGCAAAGTGTGTCCGTAATTTTAATCAGTTATAATTAAGTATATATATATATATATATATATAATTAAGTATATATATATATATATATATAATTAAGTATATATATATATATATATATATATATATATATATATATATATATATATATATATATATATATATATATATATATATATATATATATGTACTATTTATAAACCGAGTGAGAGGGCTTTATCGGTGCATATAGACGCGAGCCGAAGGCGAGCGGCTATATGCACCGATAAAGCCCAATCACGAGGTTTATAAATGACTTCTAAAATTCACCTTTTGTTTTGGGTCCCAATGAAATAATAAGAAATGTTAACTACAATAGTTCTATTGTTTTACGACTCTTCCCTTCATTGATTAGCAAGCAAATTAATGACGGGATTAATTATCAATTCATACAAGTCGTTTGAAACGAAGTTTTCAAATGGAAATTTGAACATTTGACTTGTGTCGTTAATGAGTCGGTTTCGAAACGCTCGAAGTGCTGAAGAGGAGCAAACGTTGCTCGAAAGAGCGATGCCGCCCAGTACAAGATACGCGACAAAGTGGGCTTTGAGATTTTTTATTCCTGGAGAGCTGCTAGAAAGGTTAAAGAAGTGGAGATCGACGACGCTGGTCATGAAACTGATGATATTGGCCCAATCCAGACATTAACTACATCGCTGGCGGAGATCATGAATGAAGCGTCTTTAGCATTTTGGTTAAATTAAGCAAGTTTCTTGGGTTTAAAGAGTTTAAAGTGGTGTGTAATCAAAATGAAAGGGTTGTTAATCCCGTGTTTAACAATTGTAACATTACCTTTAACTTTGGAAAATAAAGTATTTATTGATTTCTCGAATATTTGAGTTTTTATAATACAGATTAATAAACATTTTCTTAAAGAATGCTTTATAAAGGTACATGTACCTTTATCATAAAGGTACATGTAGTCTATATATGAATTTTAAATCAGCAAACACCGATCTATATCACGGTATATAAGGGTCATCATGTGACGAGATTTTAAGAAATTCATTGGCTAATTAGTTCATGAATTATTCATGAATTTTAGATATATATATATATATATATATATATATATATATATATATATATATATATATATATATATATATATATATATATATATATATATATATATGAAGCATTGATATATACAAAAGTGTGAAAAGCTAGCCATCTTGAAAGGACGAAACCCACGCCTCTTGAACACACGAGACGAACTTATCTCCAAATGCAGACATGCATGAAAACAAATTTTACATACAAAATTATAAGATAACATAAATTATTTGCTCGAGAGGTTTTAACAACTATACGTATAGACTTTAAGTAGGTTTTGAATTAATTTACTAAGTTTTTAATTTTAAATCAGTTTAGTTGAACACTCGCAAAGGTCCCAATAGGTTTTATTTAGACTGAACTTACGTAATTAGCATGCACGGTAGCTTAGTATATAAAGCTCGTGTGCACCATATATATATATATATATATATATATATATATATATATATATATATATATATATATATATATATATATATATATATATATATATATATATATATTATTTTAACTTAAAATTGAGTCACAACTCTGAGTTTCACGCTGAGTGCGATCATCAGGTGACGGTGTTACAAGTGACGGTTGAATCTTCCGTATGATGACGTTGGATTATATGCGTGATGGCGCAGCGCGCGCACGTTCAAATTTTCCCGCGAGGAATCGCTTCCGGTGGCGGCACTTCGAGAAAAGTTCACACCTTTTGTTCAACAGTTTTGTCTTGTCACCTTTTAGGATATGTAATTTTTCCTGGAGACAAAGGTCACAGTTTTTTGCGCCGCTGCGATAGGAAGGTGTTTGTTTTAGTATTGTCCATTTAATTCTGAATCTGCGTTTCTCTTTCTTTAATTGCCAAATGTATTTGGATAGCTCGGTGGAATTACGTTTGTCTGGGTTTTCAAACGTGGTTTTGTGATTGGCAAAGCGCTTCTTGAAGGTTGTCGAAGTCATGCCAATATATTCTTTGGTACTCTCCTTATCAACCTCGACTTCTGCTTTATATACGACGCTTTCTATCAGGCAATTCTTTTGGAGTGGACAATTGTCGGTGTTTCTGCAGTTACAGTTATCATTGCCGTTCGCTGTTGGTGCTGTAGCTGTCTTACTTTTGGACAGGATACCGATGTTAT